ACTGTCCTGCTTGTAGCATAAGCCCTTCGAGGCACCCGCGCCCCCGCTGACGTCGTCACGTTGAGACACCATCCCCAGCGCGCTCACTGCATGCAGTCCACCACTAGACGGCCTCCCCCTCCTGGTCCTGCCCGCCCGCTCTACGACTCGCCCGCTGCGCCCGTGCAGGACACCAGACAACAAACGACCGCTACGCACGCCGCGCGTCCGTCTTCCGGTCTGCCCGCTCAACGCGACGGCATCTGTGGCCTCCTGGTGATCCTCGGCACGGGGCATCGCGCGCAGACGAGTCGCCGTTCGTGGAGCCGGGACAGCCTGTGCATGATCATGCGCGGCGCGATGAGAAGGCGGCGTCGATCTGGGACACGGGCATGGGCATCGTCGGCAGCGCGCCGCGGGACGTCGCATATGTGATGCTCGTCAGGCCCCGCAAGTCGTCCCTGCGTCTGCTGCAGCTCATCGCGCTTTCGCTGGATCCTCGTGCGTCCAGCGCGCGGACGTAGTGCCGGGCTGCGGGCTGCACGCGTCAGGTCGCGGGAGATCTGCAAATGGTAGGAATCTGACGTACACATGCAGGAAAACGTTACCGGGAGCCACAGGTAGGGCACGGCAACCACGTACCACGGCGACCATCTTGATGCTATACCTCCCTCCCTCGTCTTGCGCGGGCGGCGAGTCTGCTTGCCCCTCTCGCGCTGCATGGCGTGCTGGTCGTCCTCTGTATGCCGGCCCACAACACGGCGCTGCCATGCGCGGTCGGTCGAACAGTCCACGCGCGGCTCGTTCCCCAGGCTTCCACTCCCCCAGCCGACGTCGCGGACGAACGCGGCCGGTGGTGCTCTCCGTCTAGGCTCATCCCGCAACGGCCCCTTCAGCGGCGTCCGAACGTGTCCACGCAGACGCTGTCTCCGCAGCCTGGGCAGGTGTTTAAGCTCCTCGGTGGGTCCAGCGTGCGTCTCCTCTGTCTTGCGCTATTGCTGCGAGCATTCCGGTGTCAGTCGCGCTGCCACGGGATGCTCGTGCACGCCGTTAGCGGTGTTGCCGCTCCGGGCCTGCGACAGACGCGCAGTACGCGCCGTTCAGAGGCGTGGATGGTCCTGCTGCCGAGGCCACGGCCGCCATCGACTGCCGCGGGTGTAGAGGACAACGTCCGGCGGCATGCACAGCGAACATCCCGGTCAGTCGCGGGCGTGTCGCGGGCAGACGCGTACGAGAACGTGCCGAGTTTGCGACGCGTCATGGGGCGGCAGCGCACGCCGTCGCGCGCACTGGAGCTGCGGCACACCGTCGCGCGCACTGGAGCTGCGGCACACCGTCATCTAGGGAGCACAGGCGAGGCGCACCGCGTGGGTGGGCGGCCGCTGCGGTTGCTGGAGCGCAGCACGGCGGCGCGCGCGCAGAACGAGCCGGACGGGCGGTCGCACAGACAGACGTGAACGCGGGACGCGGGACGGGCACGAAGGGAGCAGTCGTTCTACAGCTCAGCGCGCCTGGAGCGGGGAGAGGGCGGAGCGTCGTACCCTCGCGGGCTCATCGGTTCCCGGGCAGGCTCCCGCATGGAGATGGTGATGGGAGCGGGGCCGAAGAAGGAACATTGTCTGCGACACATCGGGCGGCACGGTGGGTGCGTGCGTTGGCGGCACCGCCGTCCTGCTCGCCACTGTGGTACTGACCCCGCCCATGAGGATCACCAGTCTCGCGCGCCGAGGATGTGCTGCGGGAGTGCTGGGCAAGCGTTCCGGTGTCTGTCTCGACGCCGCATGCCAGCTCTTGCGCGGTGCGTGATCCGCGGCTGCTCACACTCGCTCGTCTCGCGCGCGCGCTGCTTCTGCCTGCCTGGCTCGGCCTCTTGTCCCACCGCGTCTCTCCGTCTAGGCGACCACCTGTGCTGCGTGTGCGTGACTGACTCCATGCTGCCGCCGTCTTCATCCATAGCAATGTCTCACGCGCTCCTCCCGCTTTGCTCACGCGCTTGTCTCGCTTTGCTCACACGCTCCTCACCCGGCCGCAGCACAGCCGCTGTTGTATCCCCCCGCTTATTCACGCACGCCTTCT